ATAGTGTGTTCCAGTACCATGGACAGCAGAAAGGAACAAACAGGCATGCACGAATTACATTAATTATTGGCTTGAAAATTTGCTGTACTGTACATCACAATAATTACATAATGCATATACAAGTGATTTGTACGTTTGCTTATTTCACAATCAGTTATGGCGGACAGAAAAAAGTATGGAATGTTCTGTTACTGATATTAAGGTAAACACTGGTTTTGTTTATTGGTGAAATAGGAGTGTATATTATTGCTGTCTACTATTTTACCTGATACCACGTACAGGAAATACTGCAGTTTTCATAAATGTACACTCTTTATGCATTTCTTTCTTTAAATTGCACTGGAATAGCATAAAAATTTAAGAGCATTTCAAAGATATACAAATGATAAGGTAGCAAAACAGAGAATAATATTGATTATATTCTGGCTGTCCTGCTTTGCCTTTTTTCAACAACTATCACTCCTGACATTTATGTTGTAACAAGTAACTTTAGCACTTAAACCTTGCAAAAGTGAGTAGACCCTAACAAACAGATGCAAAGAAAACAGTATGCAGTACAGTTAGATTGTTACATATTACTGGTCCTTAGAATGGCCAGGCTTAATGTTTCAAAGTATTGGAGAATGCCTTCATGCAGACTAAGCATAAACAGGGATAAACTGAGGTTTGAGGATGACAGAATAACACAGACATAAAAAACAGGCTAGGGTCAAGGATCTGAGAAGTCAGAAGAGACGAGAAAGCTGAGTCAAGTTAATCAGAAAAGTATACATGACGCACTCTCGGGCAACAAAGACCACAACAGAGCACAGAACAAATTGTGGCTAGATCTGATTAGTCTGAGTCAAATTTGACACCACTGGAACCACAACACTCATAAAAAATGAAATGCCATGTAAATTCTTCAAAAAAATGTAACAGCGTTTTTAGAAATGTACCTTTTTTAAAGCTCTTATATTTTGTCGCTGGATTATATAGAATGTAATTTTAAAAGTAACAATCATCTCTTATTAACAAACTACCTTGTTCTTGAAATGTGAATCTCTGCTATTTAAAACAAATATAAATAACAAATATTCAATTCATGAGAGTAAGAGCATTAACACTGTTCTAGAATGGACTGTAGGTGTACATCTCCCTAAATATACAGTTCTTTTTATAAACTCGCATTAACAAGAGCCCTGCCATTGGGATATCTTTTAGTTAGAAGAAAATAGTTTGAAGAAATGAGTGGAAGAAATCAGAAAAATAATATCAGAAAAATAAAACAAAAGGAAAGGGGTATCTTTTAGTGAATGGTAACAAACGTTGCTGTGTAGTTAGTTATAATTTGTTTTTAGTATTAAATAATTTTATTTTAAATCAATACCAATATAAACACTGCTTAACACAGTTAAATATTGAGCTATTTCATATAAATGAATTTCTCAATAAGATCTGTTCATTCTTACTGATTAAGCTACTGACTTGTTACTTACTACTTTCTACTACATTGGCTTCTCATTTCAGTTAGAATTCAACTCAAACTATTGACACTAACATTCAAAGCCCTCACTCCTTCTAATTCTTTAATTAATAAATACACTCTTCTTACTCCCTTTGCTCTGTTAGTGACCTTGTATTGTACTTTATTTTTTGCCACACTGCTAATTGTCATCTACATTATTTCTCAAAAGCCATACCAATCCTATGGCATGCCCTACCTCATCCAATTAGCCTTCCAATTGCTTCTAGTCCTTTAAAAGGTCACTTAAAACTTACCTTTTTATGAATGCTTAGCTGGGTGACATTACAGTAACCACCCTGTCCCTCCATACTTCACCTGTACTTTCACAGTCCATTTTGCTCTCTTTCTCTCTAACAACATTTTTAAAGTTCTAACTATGCACAGGCATCATATTTATCAGCCTCTCCTTCCCTCAGATACATTGTTCTTTCGTACGTGTTCTTTTATCCCTTCCTCCTATATTGTCAGTCTGTTTCAGTAGGGCTGGTCCCTGTCAATATAATGTGTGTGTGCTCATTACTTGATAATGCTAATAATAATAATAATATGAAACACAACAAATATGTATGCATAATGACCTCAAATGGTCTTATCACATGTGTGTGACTTACTATTGTTATAAATTATTTCCACCCTTTGACTTGAGTAATATATGCTATTATTTATCCAAACATTAGTCTGTATGGTCATGATATCCATTGTGTGGCATGACTATGAAGAACAACAGTGAATGTATATACACAACTTTTAAAGTTGTTAACCTCGTGTTACCAACACATTCCCATGTTTGCCAACTATTAGTAATGGAGGTGATCATTGTGCTTGATCACTGTTGATCACTGTTCTGCACAAGTTGATCCTGATCACTGCACAGCTCAGCTCGCTCTGACAGCTCAGCTCGCTTTCTATACCCGCCCTCTCCTCAGCCAAACTGTGTTTGCATAGAAACACTATATATAGAGATCTCTCTATATATAGTGTTTCTATGCAAACACACAAGTAGTATAAAATTAGACATACACACACACTCTTTCTCCATCCATATTCATCCATCCCCATCATCCATATCCATCCATCCATCCGTCCCCATCCATATCCATCCATCCCCATCATTCATATCCATCCCCATCATCCATCCCCATTATCCATATCCATCCCCATCATCCATCCATTCCCATCATCCATATCCATACCCAAATCCATCCACTCCCATCATCCATATCCATCCATCCACTCCCATCATCCATATCTATCCCCAAATCCATCCACTCCCATCATCCATATCCATCCATCCACTCCCATCAGCCATATCCATCCACTCCCATCATCCATATCCATCCATCCCTATCCTCCATCCTCACCCACTCACCCTCAGTCACCCACCCACACTCACTAAATAAGTTTACTTACAGTTTGAATCCTCCCCTCCTCCTCTTTGGTCTTCAGCCTGTCCGCTCAAGCCACCCCCACGCAGTGCTGACAGCCTCAGCACACAAAGCGCGTTCACAGTGCTTTGTGTGCTGATAGCACGTCTGAAGTATTCACCAATGCGTGAATACGTCAGACGTGAATGAAGCCTTTTTAGGGCTTCTGAACTCGGAAGTCCCTCTGGTTGCCGTCTGATTGACTGCGACTAGAGGTGTTCCAGTGCTTACAAGAAAAAGGCTGCAGGGAGCTGTAGCACTCACCTGAACAACCTCATTAAGCTGAAGTTGTTCAGGTGACTATAGTGTCCCTTTAAAGGAACATCTGTCTACTAACTCTTTTTTTATCTAAATACATCAATTTTATTAGCAATGCATCTATAAAATGGAACACAGGCTCCTTGTTCTAGAGCCGACACAGAAAAATCATTCTCATGTTTATTATTGTATGTAACTTACTGTGCACTAAATATGCTAATTTTCACAATGTATACCCCAAGTACATATATATTTTTTAATTATTAATTAAAGTACAATTACGATTACACGTTGTACCGTCAAAACATTAGGTATGTTGTGTAAACCCAAAGGAGAAAAAAAAATCATTAAGTCCAGTTTTAATTCCAGGCAATAAAACTAAAAATATACTAAAACATCCAAGTGCAATGAATACTTATATGAGACCATGCAGAATATAAAAACTGTCTCTGAATATACAGATGGTGACACAGTCTTATATAATTTGGGATCAAATCAGAAAGGAGCCAAAAACAGAAAATGGATTAGTTATTATTGAAACTGTTAGGATTCATGACATTTAGCCTGAAAATCCATTCCATTTCTGTTCTGACTAATCTTTAAAAAGATTTTCTCCTCTCCAAATTTATCATCGCTGTTTAATCAGCACACAGAATTGAAAGATAAATCCACATTTTTTTCTCTGAGACATATGGTGCTGGAGGAAATGACCACATTTATTATGGAGTATTATTGCTATGGAAGAAATCAGAAAAATAAAATGAAGGCAAATACAAAAGGACAAAAGGAATACAACGTGAGAGACAAGAGCAATAGGACAAGGAAATTATAATCATACTGGCAAATAAGAGAAGCAGTGAATGTGTCATCAGAATACTAGAGGAAACAAAAGACTTTTGTGTAAAGACGTTAATGGATACTCTAAACATCAAAATAACCTTAACTTTAAGAAATGGTTTTGATGTATTGAAACATAGAAACATAGAATATGACGGCAGATAAGAACCATTCGGGCCATCTAGTCTGCCCAATTTTCTAAATACTTTCATTAGTCCCTGGCCTTATCTTATAGTTAGGATAGCCTTATGCCTATCCCACGCATGCTTAAACTCCTTTACTGTGTTAACCCCTACCACTTCAGCTGGAAGGTTATTCCATGCATCCACTACCCTCTCAGTAAAGTAATACTTCCTGATATTATTTTTAAACCTTTTGCCATTTAATTTAAGACTAGTGATGTACCGAACGGTTCGCCGGCGAACGGTTCCTGGCGAACATAGCATGTTCGCGTTCGCCACGGCGGGCGAACATATGCGCGGTTCGACCCGCCCCCTATTCGTCATCATTGAGTAAACTTTGACCCTGTACCTCACAGTCAGCAGACACATTCCAGCCAATTAGCAGCACAGCCTCCCTTAGCAGACCCTCCCACCTACTGGACAGCATCCATTTTAGATTCATTCTCAAGCTGCATGCTTAGTAAGAGGAGGGAAAGTGTAGCTGCTGTTCATAAGATAGGGAAAAGCATAGCTAGGTTAGTGATAAGGGTATGCTTTTTTTTTATTTTATTTTTCTATGTAATGTAAATGCACTTAGTTGTCTGCCACTGCTGCCAGCTTCTGTGTCAGGCTCACAGTGCCCATTTCCCCAGCCAGTGCCACCAATTACATCTGGTGTCACAATAGCTTGGATTTAAAAACAAAAAACTTTT